ATCTCCATAGACAACCCTCAATCCCATGTGCTTTAATTTTACACATTAATCTCTTGTGTGGGACTTTTTCGAAGCCTTCTGTAAGTCTAAATAAATAACATCAACTGGCTCCCCAGTACTAGTTACATCCTCACAGAATTCCTGTGGATTTGTCAAGCATGATTTCCTTTTTGTAAATCTATGCTGACTGTGTCTGATTCTATTGATGCTTTCTAAGTGCTCTGCTGTAAAATCCTTGATAATGGACTCTAGCATCTTCCCCACAATAACTAGTAGTGTGGTCTATAATTCCCTGTTTTCTCTCTACCTTCCCTTTTTAAATAGTAGGCTTACATTAGCTACCCTCCAATCTGTAGAAACTGTTCCAGAGTCTAAAAAATCTTAGAAAATGACCACCAATGCATCCATTATTTCTAGGGCCACTTCCTTAAGTACTCTGGGATGTAGATTATCAGGCCCTAGGGATTTATCAGCCATCAATCCTATCGATTTCTCCAAAACCTCTGCTGATATAGATCTGCCTCAGTTCCTCCCTTTCACTTTCAATAGGTTATTCACGTCTGCCTTTGTGAAGGCAGAAGTGAAGTATGAGTTTAGTTCGTCAGCCATTTCTTTATTCACCATTATAAATTCGCTGTTTCTAACTGTAAGGGGACCTACATTAGTTTTCAATCTTTTTCTGTTAAATACCTACAGAAAATTTTACAGTCACTTATGTTCCCTGCAAGCTTACTTGCATATTTTGTTTTCCCCTTTTTAATCAATCCCTTGGTCGTCCTTAGGTTACTGGCTTTTTCTTTGCCATTTGTATGCCTCTTTTGTGCATGTAATACCACCTCTAACTTTCCTCATAAGCCACGGTTTGGCCACTGTTCTCTTTGCATTCTTGCACCAGACAGAACAAAACAATTTTTGTCGTTCACCCACGCGGTCTTTGAAAGTTTGTCATTGCCTATCCACTGTCATTCCTTTCGGTAACATTTCCAAATCCATCACCACCAACTAATGCCTCGTACCATCATAGTTTCCCTATTAAGATTCAGGACCCTAGTCTCAGAATCAACTATCTCATTCTCCATCAATACCCATTAAATCAATGCTATCAAACTGCAAGGGACAGATGGTGAGCCCAGAGTGCCCTTTAAAATCATTCTTACCATGAGACCACAATGTATTGGAGCAGAATTAGGCTTTTCGGCCCATGACTATGCTCTACCATTCTATCATGGTTGATATTTCTCAACACCATTCTCCTGCCTTCTTCTCGTTACCCTTGATTCTTTTACTAATTAAGAACCTTTTTCTGTCTTAAATACACTCGGACTTGGGCTCCACAGCTTTCTGCAGCATTAGAATATTTGAGAGGGGTCTGGAGTTGCTGTGCCAACTTGGCACAGGCCAAGATTGGCAAGCTAAACCTTGTAGCTGACAGTGTAAAGTGGGAGGTCATGCAGCTGAGGCAAATGATAGCTTTAAATTTGACTGTGTTTCTGCTCCTGTAGGGCTGTTGTACAGGCTTCTTGCTCCAGGTTGATGACTCTTCTTTGTAAGCATCTGCAACTATAACCAAGGGGTAAGAGGAGAGGGGCTGGTACACATGTCTATATTTGTGGGAAGGAAGAAGTTTGAACAGGGGTTGGGAATGCTGAGTTCTCTCTCACCCGGGAATACGGAGCTTAACAGAAACCTTCATGAGTACTTTATAACATAGACACTCATAACTGATCTATAATATGCTAACTTGGAGTAGTTTTATACTGAATGTTACTATGCTGTCTTGCCTGTTTTCTTGTTTTTGGTGCTGTCTGGGGTCAGGCTAAATTTCAGGTGTTAAAATAGGGTCAGATTGTAAAATAATTTGGAAAGCACTGCCCTAAATCATGATCAGCATCATTGATACTGGAAGACCACAAGATATGGCTGAAGACAGGTATAATACAAATCACAGACACATTATATACATTTTATGCTTTTGTGCTAAGGAAATTCTGATTGATAACTGAGGCAAGAGAAAATCAAGGTATAATATTTTCTCAAACAGCAATAAGCAGAAATGGGCTCCCAACCTTCAAGGTTGTCTGCAAATAAAACCAACGAAAATGTGTAAAATAATACATTGACCATTAATGGAAAACTGGGTGGTGGGTCAACCAAATTGGATATGAAAACAGAAAGAATACATACATTGTGGTAAATCGAGAGATTCGTCATGGACACTGACTGCTGCAATTGATGTTTAAGATTGCATTCACAAAACTTTAAACATTACTGAATGCAGCTAAACTATAGAAAACAGAAAGAATTGATCCAGTTGCATTGTGGTGATCTTCTAAATATGCAAATATGATAAGTATTTCTGTATTTCCAGCTTCACATCTGGTGTGAAATCAGTTTCACTCTTAACAGAGCACACTGTATACACAGGAGATGCTTAGCATAACAAATACTTGCTATTACAAAGCAAGCAGTTTAAACTGGCTCAACAAGGTGTAGAGCTGGGTGAACACAGCAGGCCAAGCTATATCAGAGGAGCAGGAAAGCTGACGTTCCGGGTCTGATGAAGGGTCTAGGCCCGAAACGTCAGCCTCTCTGCTCCTCTGATGCTGCTTGGCCTGCTGTGTTCATCCAGCCCTGCACCTTGTTGTTCCGGGTCTAGACCCTTCTTCAGAAAAGGGTAGGCAGCCACAAATAGATTCAAACAGTAGCTACTGAGCAGTTGCTTCAATGGTTCTCTCTTATTCTTAAAAGTTCCCCAGGGAACCTAATTTTGGCTGGGTTGATCAATTGCTGACAGCTTCAAAACTCACAATCAAATCATCTCTTTTTGAATCCACTGTAATTCTTTAACAGTGTTTTTAAAAATGTTTATCTGAGCTCAATTAGATTTTAAAAGCAAAAATACCCTTCATATTCCTTTAAATGTAAACAATCCATATTGAGACACACAACCCACCGACACAAGTAACCTATAAGAATTTAGTTGTAAATCTGACCAGGATTAGAAAATCTGACCAGGATTAGAATTAAACCAACACTCCTTGAAGTAAAGTCGAATCAGAGATAGTAGGAACTGCAGATGCTGGAGAATCCGAGACAACAAGGTGCAGGGCTGGATGAACACAGCAGGCCGAGCAGCATCATAGGAGCAGAGAGGCTGACGTTTCGGGCCTAGACCCT